TTGACAAGCTAGAAAACAGTAAAACTCAAATAATTACCATTTATATAGCACAAGGCCAAATACAAGGATTTGGCAAATGATATCTCAACGTACTGGAAAGGTGGATATGTATGTTTCTAAGATATTGCAAGTTATTTCTAAATCTTTTAGCATTAAAGGTTGCAGTTGCGACGCTTAATGATACACTAATGTGTATCATTAGTCGTCGGCTATGTAGATATTTGCTTGTTTTCATTAAGCGTCAGTGTTGCTCTGCATTTGTGACGCTTAATGATATAATTCTATCATGAAGCGGCGATTTAGCATTAGCGGTTGAGAATGTCAGCTATTAATGCAATAATTTATGGGATTAAGCGCTGCAATTGCAACGCTTAATGCTATTTGTATCATTTAGCGGCGTTTTATCATTAGAGGTTGCTACATAGCGCCCGGTTTGGAAAAGGATTTTATTTCTAGTTTTGAATTGCTCTTTTTTCGTATTTTTACCAAATCAAGATATTGTGAACTCGCCATTTATGATTTGTTAGAATAATTCATTATAAAAATAATTTTTCATGCATAAAAACAGTATTATAGAGTGCGTAATGATGCTTAATGGTAGCTTCATGGGGTTTGGACATTAAGCACGTAAACGTTCAGCTTAAAGGTGACATAATTGTGGTCTAAAAACTTCCATTAAGGACCCGTAAGCCAGTATTAAGCTACCATTAAGCTACATTTAAGCACCTACGAAGGTCTTTGAAGTGGCTTAATGGCAACTTAATGGTGGTGTAAATATTATTTCTGGGTGCATAATGGTGACTTAAAGACAACCATTAAAGCATCATTAATGACCTAGAAGCCACCATTAATCCAAGCTTAAAGGGCGAGTTTCATCTTGTGTCACTTCTTACAGATGCTTACATGTCAATTTGAAAACAAAAATTTTTGTTTTGGGATTTTTTCCCTATATATTCTTATGCAAAATTTTGATCCCTCATTGTGGCCACACCCTAAAACCAAGGGATTTGGGGGAAAAATTGAATCTACACTTCCTGAGGATACGTCTACATCATTTCATTACTCCTGGCCCTATGGTTCTGGAGAAGAAGATTTTCAAAAGGTTTTCCTACCTATCCCTATGTAAATTTTTGATCAATCGTGGCTCCACCACCCTATCCCCGGGGGTCATAATTTGAACAAACTTGAATCTACACTACCTGAGAATGCTTCCATATGAAGAAGATATTAAAGATTTCCCCTATATATTCCTATGTAAAGCTTTGATCGGCCATTGTCGCCCCGCCCTACCCCCGGGGTCATGATTCGAACAAACTTTAATCTACCAACCTGAGGATGCTTCCGTATGAGTTTCGTTATTCCTGGACCAACGGTTCTTGAGAAGAAGATTTTTTAATGCTACTAATTTTTTTTCATTAAATCATTATTTCCCCTTGGAAAAAAAGCTTGGTCCTTCATTTGAACAAACTTGAATCCCTTTTACCCAAGGATGCTTTGTTAAAAGTGTGATTAAATTTGACCCAGAGGTTCTTAAGAAGAAGTTGAAAATAGGAAAAGTTTACAAAGTCAGACGGATGAACAGCTAGGTAGACGGTCAGACTGCTCAGGTGAGCAAAACATGGATGGAAAAATTTACCAGATTGACATAAAGAAAAATAAATAATGAAAAGCACTACATACCATTAGAGTTATCAGCAGGAGCTTCCTCGTCTGTATGAAATGCTTATAAGAAAGAAAAAGGTTGTAAAATGCCATTGTTACATTAATAATTAATGTATTTCTTGTAAAAGAGCATGGATAATAAATATATAATTCTAGAATGTAAGATAATTACTTATCTAAAATGACTTTATTTTGAATAAAATGTTGAGATATGCCGTTTTACGTTGCTATTGACCTTTAAAGAAAACCTTCAGTTTGTGAATTCTGACAACAAAATGATATGCAGGGAACAATGGTATATTGCTACATACGTAAGAGAAGTCGAACTCGTCATGTTAATCATAAAGTTTTGTTGTTATGGTACAAAATATGTCTTTTTCTAGTTTAGTAAAATATTAAAATACGAAGCAGATATGTTATACTCCATTGTATCTTCAATTTCAAGATCACAGGAATATATCGTGCCGACATATTAATGGTAGAAACTATTGATATTTGATAAAAAGTTGTCGATACATCTCAATGTTGCGTTGATGGAATCACCCGTCCCCTTCTGACTTGTGTAAGTTTTGTCATAGAAAATCATAGGAATTCAAAAATAGGTCTACTAAATACTATAGATAAGAATGTAAGGCATCCTTAAAAATTCAAAAATTCTCGAATGGGACGTTAAAAAAGATACAAATAAATGACAACTTTATATAGTCGTTGAATCATGGACGCATATTTGAAAACAAAGTAAGAGAAGCCATTTAAAAAAAATTAACTACATCAGACACTTTACCGATGCACCCAATTGTGATTTTCAACCATCATGGAAAAATAAATTTTCTTTGTAACACGTGAATTCATTGGTTAAAAGATTACGTTTTAATCGCATAACATAACTTGCGTAAGACACAAATTATTGATTGCGCTCGACGTAAGTTAACATCGTAAAACATGCCTAATTGCTAGATTTGTCTCCTTGTCGACACTTAATAATGGAAAAACTTATTATAAGGAATATATTTAATAGTCATCCTAGTTATATTTGTATAACATTGATTACAACTGTTAAAATAAGAGGCCCACGGGTTTTATTGGTCACCTGAGTGTCCGTAACAACTTTCGAACAATTGAATTTGAATGAGGCACCATTGCTTATCAAAATTACACACTTAGCATGCTTATTTTGGTTACTTGATGCCCAGAAGTAGATCACCGTAACAAAGAGAAAATGCATTTCACTTTGTAAAAAGTTGTGCACGCCATCCCACAGGAACCACTGACCCTGGGGCTACATATTTCAAAATTTGGAAATTTTATCAGGAATTTTATTTTATTATAAAACGTTGATAATATCAAAATGGATATTTCAAAGCATTTTATTTTCAAACTATATACCCCCTCCAAATACCTCTGAACCAGGGGCCCATAAATTAACTACTTTGAAATAGGCAGCTTTCATCATCAAAAATATGTACTTAGATCATTAGCATAATACACAGGAGCAAAGGAAAAGATTTTCAAGGAATTCATGCATTCTCATTATATAATCATTAGAGCCCCGCCCTAACACAAGAAGCCCTGACCCAGGAACCCTGAAATTCACAAAATTTAACTAGAGTTCCAAGGTTATCATCGCTCATCTGAGCACATGGGCTATTTAAAAACACAAATAAGCTCAGAATTGACAAGTTTTCTTGTTGGGGGAGGGGGATTTGAGTTTTCTATAACTTAACTATAAAAAATCAATAAAGCATACATGTATAATTTAGCAATACTTGAAAAGAAGATTTTTAAAGATTTTTCCGACATATTACTTAATCTCCCAGACCCTGGCTAACACCCCCATGGACATTATTTGATTAAATTTAAACGTTCATTACTTGCAGATGCTTACATGTCAATTTGACTTATCAACACTTGTCTTTTCTGGAGAAGATATTTTTCTTATACCCTTCTAGAAAACTTTGATCCCTCACTGTGGCCCCGCCCTAACCCTGAGGGTCATGATTTGAACAAACTTGAATCTACGCTACCTGTGGAGACTTCCACTTTCACTCTTCCCGGTCCAATGATTCTAAAGAAGGATTTTTAAAAAGATTTTTCCTATAAATTCCTATGTTAAACTTTGAGCAGCCATTGTGCCCCCAACCCCCGGAGGTTATGATTTGAACAAACATGAATCTACACTACCTGAGTATTCTTCCTCATGATTTATATTATTTCTGGCCCAATGGTTCTGGAAAAGTTTTTTTTTTCTATACATTTCTATGTAAAATTATGACCAGCCATTATGGCCCCGCCCAACTACAGGGGTCATCAACAAACTTGCATCTACACTACCTGAGGATGCTTCCACATGAGTTTCATAATCCCTGGCCCAATGGTTCTGGAGAAGATTTTTGAAAATTTTGCTTATATATTCCTATGTAAAACTGAGAACAGCCATTTTGTCCCGTCTTATCCCCGGGGGTCATGATTTGAACAAACTTGAATCTACAATTCCTTAGGATGCTTCCACATGAGTTTAATCTTTCTTGGCACAGTGGTTAAGAAAAAGAAGATTTTTAAGTGATACTATTAATTTTTCATTAATTCATAATTATTTTCCCTTGGAATAGAGCTTGACCATTCATTTGAACAAAGTTGAATTCCCTTTATAAAAGGATACTTTGTGGCAAGTTTGATTGAAATTGGCCCAGTGGTTCTTGAGAAAAAGATGAAAATGTGAAAAGTTTAGGACGACAACAACAACGACGATAGACAACGACCCATTTTGACCAGAAAAGCATACTTAAGGTCAGACGAGACGTTCCCCAAATTTCTGTTTTGTACATCTTCATAATGTATCAAAAATATATAAAAATTTTAGATATTTTCCGATTTCTAAACCTGTTCCTAATTGTTTTTAAAAAGTTGAAACACTAAAAATTTGATTTCGAAAAAGTATTTTTTTTCCCGATAGTATATGTTCAATGACAAAGTCTTAGAAAAAATTATGTATTATTGAGGAACGTCTCGTCTGTCCTTAAGCCTTCGGATCAGGTGAGCTAAAAAGGGCAACCTTCCTTCTCATAAATTTGTACATTGGTTTAATACCCAGGCGCAGAAATTCGTGTTTCTCATTTTATATATTGAGGAATCTTCATGTTTTGTGGTTAAATATGGAATTAATTTCACACGTTGAATGTTTTCATCTTCATTTTTATTGATTTCTTTTAGATATTCTATAAAAATCCTTTCTGCTATTTTATTGCTTCTTGGATGATTAGGCCTAAATTGTCCCAATACAGGTTATATGGTATAACTGGGATACAGCTCTATGAAATATATTTGAAATAACTACTCGATTAACCTGTTGTAACTTGTTTAGATATGTGCCCTCTCCTCCTGTAGAATAGAATTAAGCCAATCAGGATTCCCAGGACTACGATCGTTGATCCAAACACTGCCAATAAATTGATCGACATCTGGAGAGCTGTTGCTGTACTAGCTGTAGTTGGACCATTTATTTTCGTAAAATAGTCTGTGGTATTTTCTTGCACCCTAGAAATAAAACCTTTTAATGCTATGTACAAGGGTTGTCCGGTAAAAATCGTTGACAAGTTGTCTAGTTTGAAAAGTAATCATCACTGCTTTCTGAAATTTTCACAACTATTTTGAACACATATTATGACTATACAGAGCAAATTAAATTTCTTATAGATATATGCATGAATAAGCAAATTGCGATATATATGTTATGTATTGTATCGCCCTACGGCGCACGGATGATAACGTCAAAGTGTTTAAAAAAGCGTCACGTTTCATCTTTACTAAAATTAAAGTTGGGTAAGTCCCACTTAAATTTAGAAATTCCATTGATCAACATACGTGAGTGTCCATAACCAGTTAAGGAACCAATCCGGCATACACATGCGATCTTCTGAAGATTTATTAGCAAGTTCATGACAGTATTCTCGGCATAATACAACAAACAGTTAATCTCAGATCGACAGTTGACAGTGACAGCGTCTTTTGCTTGTACAATAGCAGTTTTACCGTATGTTTTCATTACCTGAGGAGTCGACAAAAAGATTTCGCTAACAAAACTTTCATTTTATTTTTATGCTAAAGACCTGGTAATATTTTTCATATTTTCTCTCTTCTGCATTCATTTAAACTCTTTTAACGTTTCCTTATAACATCTTAATCGAACTGATTGCTCTTCAATGTGCCGTAACGTCACAAATAGTCGCCATTTTTTGTGTATTGTGTTTACCACTTTCCCATTTCGAATGCTCGGTAAACTGCCAAAAATTAACTAAATGTCTTGAAATTTTTAAAAAGACGAAAAAGTTTATTAAGCTATCGAATTAGGATAATTTTTATCTCAATCTTATGTATTGAAAACTTTTATTACGAATTACAGACCCTAAACCGTGCTACTACACCACTTGAACGGTACGGTTCGGTACATGTCCGCTTTGTGCAGTTTGCACGTTTGCAAGAAATTCGGCTGGCGATTTTTGTATGCAGGGTATAAGTTGATCACAGTTTACACTACTGAATTAAATATCCCCTTAGATTCCAAAAAATCCCCTGTTGTCCCCCTGTTAGTCCCTGACATTTTCCTGTCTCTCCCTGACTTTCTCCTATGATCCCCTGTCGTTGCCCTGCTCTCCATGTCCAGTCCCTGTCGTCCCCTGTCGTTGTCCCTGCCTTCCCTGTCTACTCCCTGTCGTCCCCTGACATTCTCTGATCTCCCTGTCCAGTTCCTGTCGTCCCCTGTCGTTGTCCCTGCCTTCCCTGTCTACTCCCTGTCGTCCCCTGACATTTATTTTGGCCAAGAAACGGGGTTTAAAAATATTTTTGTTGCATTTAAGAGTGGAAATTGATATAGTCTTGAAAACTTTAAGCAATTTTTTTGAAAATATAGACTTAGTAAAAAGTTAACACATTTTTAAATGCCTTAACTTAATCCCCTGTAATTTAGTCTCTATCACTTGTATCAATGTGATTTTTTTTAGTTTAGTAGCATTTCGGGGGGAGAACGGCAGAGAATTGCGTCGATTCTAAAGAAGAAATGAATTACCAATTTATTTCATCTTGTGTTGCTAGACAGCATATACATTGAACTTTTTTAACCTTTTATATATATTTATACACTTTTTTTTTTTATTTTTTATTTGATCTACTTTAAAACACTTTTAAGCGTAATGACTGTCTTTGTACAAGAACTAGATTTAAACATTTGGGAATGCATTATCAAATCCATGTATGGGATATTTTGATTCCCCAAAGAAAGAAAGAAAGAAAAAATAAATAAGTAAATAAATCAATAAATAAATAAATAAATAAATAAAAATAATACATAAATTTATTCATTTATTTGTTTATGTTTTAATTTATCACTCATTTATATTCCCAAAATTTTATATATTTGTTTTATTTTATTTATTCGCTGAAATATGCTACAAAGTATTTTATTAGCACATTTAAACGACTTTCTATTACTTCAAGTCCATGATGGATATCAAAATAATCGTCTCATTATGCACAATATTAATCTATCAATTAGATTTTTGATACTTTGTGTTGATTTAAAAATTGGTTTTCAAAACCCTAACACGGTTCTGAAAGAACATCAAAGCCATTGATGTTTACCAGTAATTAACTCGGGGTACACAGTCATGACACCTATTATCTTTTTCACTGACCGCTATACCTTGTTTATGTTGTGGCAGGACGACCGTGTGTAGTTTGCAGCTGTTTGAAATAACATTTTTTCTCTTTGTATGAGAACTTATTTTTTTTTTAATCAAAACAAAATAAAAGTATGAAAGAAGCAGTTGACGGGTAAAGAATGTGCATAATGAGGCGATTATTTTGATATCCATCATGAAAGTTAAATAATTAAAAGCAGATTTAATATGCTTCAAAGATACTTTGACACATATTTTTTTTCGTAATTATAAATAGTTTTACATAGAATAAGCCAAAAAATCCCATCTTCGGGTATTTGATTACTTAATTTGTTTGTATCGTCAATTTTAAAAATAAAAAGGTTGTTTTTATATTACATAAATACACGCAGTTAATAAGTTTATTTTTCTTTCTTTTGTGTTTACTAACTATTCAAAATCAATTATTATATTGATTTTAAAAACTTAATTATTCCAAAATGCTCCAATACCCCCTGTTGTCTCTCTATTTTTTCTTTCTTTTTTTTCTTCGTTTTTTTTTTACAAATGGTACAAAGTCAAACCAGTATTTAACGAATAAAACAGATTAAAGCGAAATAATTCGTAGTAAATTAATAAAATAAAATAAATGAATAATGAAAAAAATATTAATAAAATGGCAATCTATTTATTTTTGAAATTGAAAATACAACAAATTAATAAATCATTTATATCTGCAAGAAATTTAGTTTATTTAGTTTTGTTTTATATAAACACTTGCATCCGTAGATGTGCTACAAAGTATTTTAAAAGCATATTAAAACGACTTTTTATTATTTTAAGTACATGATGGATATCAAAATAATCGTCTCATTATGCACAATATTAATCTGTCAATTTGATTTTTGATACTTTGTTTTGATTAAAATATCGGTTTTCAAAACCCTAACACGATTCTGAAAGAACATCAAAGCCATTGATGTTTACCAGTAATTAACTCGGGATGCACAGTCATTACACCTATTATCTTTTTCACTGACCGCTATACCTAGTTTATGTTATGGCAGGACGAACGTGTGTAGTTTGTAGCTGTTTGAAATAACATATTTTCTCTTTGTATGAGAACTTAATTTTTTTTTCAATCAAAACAAAATAAAAGTATGAAAGAAGCTATTGACGGGTAAAGAATGTGCATAATGAGGCGATTATTTTGATATCCATCATGAAAGTTAAATAATTAAAAGCAGATTTAATATGCTTCAAAGATACTTTGACACATATTTTTTTTCGTAATTATAAATAGTTTTACATAGAATAAGCCAAAAAATCCCATCTTCGGGTATTTGATTACTTAATTTGTTTGTATCTTCAATTTTAAAAATAAAAAGGTTGTTTTTATATTACATAAATACACGCAGTTAATAAGTTTATTTTTCTTTCTTTTGTGTTTACTAACTATTCAAAATCAATTATTATATTGATTTTAAAAACTTAATTATTCCAAAATGCTCCAATACCCCCTGTTGTCTCTCTATTTTTTCTTTCTTTTTTTTCTTCGTTTTTTTTTTACAAATGGTACAAAGTCAAACCAGTATTTAACGAATAAAACAGATTAAAGCGAAATAATTCGTAGTAAATTAATAAAATAAAATAAATGAATAATGAAAAAAATATTAATAAAATGGCAATCTATTTATTTTTGAAAGTGAAAATACAACAAATTAATAAATCATTTATATCTGCAAGAAATTTAGTTTATTTAGTTTTGTTTTATATAAACACTTGCATCCGTAGATGTGCTACAAAGTATTTTAAAAGCATATTAAAACGACTTTTTATTATTTTAAGTACATGATGGATATCAAAATAATCGTCTCATTATGCACAATATTAATCTGTCAATTTGATTTTTGATACTTTGTTTTGATTAAAATATCTGTTTTCAAAACCCTAACACGATTCTGAAAGAACATCAAAGCCATTGATGTTTACCAGTAATTAACTCGGGATACACAGTCATTACACCTATTATCTTTTTCACTGACCGCTATACCTAGTTTATGTTATGGCAGGACGAACGTGTGTAGTTTGTAGCTGTTTGAAATAACATATTTTCTCTTTGTATGAGAACTTAATTTTTTTTTCAATCAAAACAAAATAAAAGTATGAAAGAAGCTATTGACGGGTTAAGATTGTGCATATTGAGACGATTATTTTGATATCCGTCATGGAAATAAAATAATTAAAATCAGTTTTAATACGCTTTAAAAATACTTTGACACATATTTTTTTGTAAATAGTTTTACATAAAATAAGCCAAAAAATTCCCATTTTCGGGTATTTGACTATTTAATTTGTATCGTCAATTTTGAAAATAAAAAATATTCTTTTTATAATAAATAAATACATGCAGTTAATAAGTTTTTTATTTTGTTGTTGTTGTTGTTTACTAACTATTTTAAAATCAATTATTATATTGAAATTAAAAACTTAATTATTCCAAAATGCACTAATATCCCCTGCTGTCTCTCTTTCTTTCTTTCTTTCTTTCTTTCTTTCTTTCTTTCTTTCTTTCTTTCTTTCTTTCTTTCTTTCTTTCAGATTGAAGCGAAATACATTCATAGTAAATGAATAAAATAAAATAAATGAATAATGAAAAAAAATATTAATAAAATATCAATCTATTTATTTTTGAAATTGAAAATACAACAAGTTAATGAATCATTTATATCTGCAAGAAATTGTGTTTCTTTAGTTTTATTTTATATAAACACTTGCATCAGTAGATGTGCTACAAAGTGTTTTATAAGCATATTAAAACGACTTTTTATTATTTTAAGTACATGATGGATATCAAAATAATCGTCTCATTATGCACAATATTTATTTGTCAATTAGATTTTTGATACTTTGTTTTGATTAAAAAATCGGTTTTCAAAACCCTAACACGATTCTGATAGAACATCAAAGCCATTGATGTTTACCAGTAATTAACTCGGGGTACACAGTCATGACACCTATTGTCTTTCTCACTGACCGCTATACCTTGTTTATGTGGTGTTTAGAGTGACCGTGTACAGTTAGCAACTGTTTGAAATAACATCTTCTGTTTGTATGAGAACTTATTTTATTTTTTTTTTTAATCAAAACAAAATAAAAGTATGAAAGAAGCTATTGACGGGTTAAGATCGTGCATAATGAGACGATTATTTTGATATCCATCATGGAAATAAAATAATTAAAAGCAGATTTAATATGCTTCAAAAATACTTTGATGCATATTTATCGTAAATCCTTTTACATAGAATATGCCAAACAAATTCCTTTTTCAGGTATATAATTATTTAGTTTGCTTGTATCGTCAATTTTAAAAATAAAAACATTGTTTTGATAATGATTAAATACATGCAGTTAATAAGTTTATTTTTTTTTTATTTACTAACTATTTAAAATCAATTATTGTGTTGGTTTTAAACAATAAAATATTCTAAAAAGCACCAATACCCCCTGCTGACGTTTTTTCTTACAAATTGTACAAAGTCAAACCAGTATTTAATGAATAAAACAGATTGCAAAGAAATAAATACATAGTAAATAAATAAAATGAAAAAACAAGAAATAATGAATTAATTAAAAATAAAATATCCATTTATTTATTTATTTTTGAAATTGAAAATACAAGAAATTAGTCAATCATTTATATCCGTAAAAAAAAAATGTGTTTCTTTAGTTTTATTTTATTCATGTTTTATTCATTTAATAATGGAGTGACTTTCTACCTTTTGTAAGAAAAAAAAGAAAAGACAGTAGGGGTACTAGCGCATTTTAGAATATTTTAGTTTTTAAAATCAATACAATAATTGATTTTAAATAGTTAGTAAATAAAAAATAAATAAACTAATTAACTGCATGTATTTAATCATTATAAAAACAATGTTTTTATTTTCAAAATTGACGATACAAGCAAACTAAATGATCATACACCCGAAAATGGGATTTGTTTGGCATATTCTATGTAAACTGATTTACGATAAATATGTATCAAAGTATTTTTGAAGCATATTTAAACTACTTTTAATTATTTTATTTCCATGATGGATATCAAAATAATCGTCTCATTATGCACAATCGTTACCCGTCAATAGTTTCTTTGATACTTTTATTTCGTTTTGATTGAAAAAATCAGTTCTCATACAAAGAGAAAATGTTATTTCAAACAGCTGCAAATTACACACGGTCGTCCTGCCACAACATAAACAGGGTATAGCAGTCAGTGAAAAATGTAATTGGTGTCATGACCGTGTACCCCGAGTTAATTACTGGTAAACATCAATGGCTTTGATGTTCTTTCAGAATCGTGTTTGGGTTTTGAAAACTGATTTTTTAATCAAATAAATGTATCAAAGATTTAATTGACAGAATAATATTGTGCATAATGAGACGATTATTTTGATATCCATCATGGACTTAAAGTGATAAAAAGTCGTTTAAATATGCTAATAAAATACTTTGGATCATATTTCAGGAAATAAATAAAATGAAACTAATAAAACAAATTTTGGGGATATAAATGAATGATAAAAAATAAACATATATATGAATAAATTTATAGAATTCTCATTATTTATTTATTTATTTATTTATTTATTTATTTATTTATTTATTTATTTATTTATTTATTTATTTATCTATCTATCTATCTATCTATTTATTCATTCATTCTTAATTCAGTCGATTTATAGATTTATTCATATAAGAAAATAAATGAATAAAATAGATTTTTAGTTTATTTAATAATTTTTATTTATTTATTAGGCATTTAGTTTATTAATGCATTCATATATCATTCCTTTCAATTAACTTTTATTCATTTAATTCTTTGGGAAAACAAAATATCCCATGCATGGATTTGATAATGTATTCCTAAATGCTTAAATCTAATTCTTTTACAAAGACAGTTATTACGCTTAAAGATGTTTCAAAGTAGATCAAATAAAAAATGAAAAAGTTTATCAATATATATATATAAAAGGTTCATAAAGCACAATGTATATGCCGTCTACCACCACAAGATGAAATAAATTGCTAATTTATTTCTTCTTTAGAATGATGCAATTCTCTGCCGTTCTTCCCCCGCAATGCTACCAAGCTAAAAAAATCACATTGATACAAGTGATAGAAACTAAATTACAGGGGATTTAGTTAAGGCATTAAAAAAGTGATAACTTTTTACTAAGTCTATATTTTCGAAAAAAACTAAAAGTTTTCAAGACTGTATCATTTTTCACTCTTAGAAGCAACAAAAATATTTTTTAAACTTCTTTTCTTGGACAAAATAAATGTCAGGGGACGACAGGGAGTAGACAGGGAAGGCAGGGACAACGACAGGGGACGACAGGGACTGGACAGGGAGATCAGAGAATGTCAGGGGACTACAGGGAGTAGACAGGGAAGGCCGGGACAACGACAGGGGACGACAGGGACTGGACAGGGAGAGCAGGGGCAACGACAGGGGATCATAGGAGAAAGTCAGGGAGAGACAGGAAAATGTCAGGGACTGACAGGGGGACAACAGGGGATTTTTTGGAATCTACGGGGATATTAAATTCAGTAGTGTTAATTAGTCAGATTATCATCTCTGTCTTTTCAGAAGAAATCTTTATATTTACCGCATGTAATATTTTAATCCATATTTTACATGATTTCAGATTTTCAGTGTAAGTCTAACTGCACTAAAGATTCGGATAGCAATAATCTAAGTAAAATTAATTTGCCAGTCTAATACGTTTTTTTAACCCTAGACAATTTATATATGTTTTAAAATTATTACAAAATGATTCATTAGTAACATCATCACTCATCTGATATGTACTACACATGAATGCATACTTACGGCAAAAACGATTTTGTATCTGATAAGATTCAAAAATTTAAATGAGCAAAATTAAAATCGAAAGAAGAGACAACCAGGGAATTATTTCATGAAAGCGTGTTATATCTTTGTGTTATAATAGTCCATCGAACCTTTTTTTATGTCTAATATAATTATAGGATTATAAAACATGAATGTACATGTACACATTTAAAGAGGGGTTTTTCTTCCCGGGCACGAGCACGATTATATTGAAGTTTGGGACATCTTATAATATTAGTTTAAATATCTGTATAGTTAAACTAGAAATATTTAAGTACAACTATTATTTCAAAAGGAAATTGATTTTATTTGCTTATATAAAGAAAATGAATGACTTCAAAGACACCGAAATTGTTTGAGGTGCAGAGTGCCCAGTATATGATTTGCGGTAAAAACCCGTGGCCTGCACTGTACCTTTGACAACAAACACAACCAGTTGATCTAATTTATAGCAAATCAGAAATTGTCTCACACTCTGTCTAGTTGTTTTGAAGTTGTAGTTAGCTTCGAGTAGTTTCCTTATTTTTACAGTTGAAAGCTCAACAACATGATGCTTGATAATGGTGTTTCGAACGGTCAGACACAACCTCCGTCCTACTTTCACAGACGCACGATTCAAAGATCATTGGGGGTGTAGTTTGCATAATTAACCAAAGAGGGGTACGGTTCGTTTCTTGCACGGAAGGGTACGCTTTGTGAACGGAAGGGTACGCTTTGTGAACGGAAGGGTACGCTTTGTGCACGGAACGGTTCGCTTAATGAACGGCACGGTAGGCTTTGTGCACGGAACGGTACGCTTTGTGAACAGCACGGTACGCTTTATACACGGAAGGGTTCGGTTCGCTTCTGAGATGTAATAACACGGTTTAGGGTCTGTAATACATGTGTATTGTCTAATATAACCTTGTTTATTTTTATCGTGTGCCATAGGACCACAGTACCATGTGCACATTCAAGCATAATAATATTTTTATTTTTTGTCTATGAATTGACAAAAACATTATGATGCACTTAAATATGATAAATAAACCTTTACTGAAAATTTCAGTTTAGTACGCCCATAAATTTTCGAGAAATACGCTTTGTCCACAATTTTACCGGACAACCCTCGTACATAACTTTACTCAAAGAAACTTTGCGATCACAAATGTTTTATACAGCATTGGTACTTTTCTCAAAAAAAAGAAAAGAAAAATGGAGAACTTTTCATATCAAATTGCAGTTAAAATAACCTCCGTTTATCAGTTTTCTCTTAATATGCAGATTATTTTGTGCTCTATATAATTATTAATCTTTTCGTTCATTCTATAGACTGTTGCATTATACTCAAGAGACCAGATTTCTAGGGCCAATTGCTTACACAAGAATTTTACATAAACAAGAGGTTCATGGGCAACATCGCTCACCTCAAGTTTTTTTCCTATATATTTCTGTGTAAAACTTTGATTCCCTATTTGGCCCCGCGCTACCCCTGTTGTTCATGATTTGAACAATTTAGAATCTACACCCCCAGGATGCTTCCACATAAGTTTCAGCTTTTCCGATCCAGTGATTCTTGAGAATTTCGTAATGAACTTGCCCTATTTTTTTCTTTTCTTGATTATCTCCCCTTGAAGAGGAACTTGTTACTTCATTTTAACAATATAACTTTCCCTATAACCAAGGATGTTTTGTACCAAGTTTGATGAAAATTGGTCCAGTGGTTTCTGAGAAGAAGTCGAACATGTGAAAAGTTTACAGACGGACGGACACGGACGACGGACAAAATGTAATCAGAAAAACTCACTTGAACCTTCAGCTCAGGTGAGCTAAAAATGTAGCGAGCGCTCAATCAACTGAATTATCGGGCATGTTTAACATATACATGTCTCTGCATGTATATCTTTAAAAGTCGGAGTCAAAAGCAATATTAAAACGTACCTGAAAATATTTGGACAAGATGGATCCGCTACATAACAATGTTCATCCGTATTTATTTCTAAGCATGCCGGATCTGTTATGAAAGCAAGGAAAAACTACTCAAAGGAATAACAGTGGTAATGTACGCACTGTACTGATTGATCGTTACTTGAAAGTAATTTTTTCAGATCTATAAGAAGATGGATCCCTTTAATTTAACTTTACTTCAATTAAAGAATACGGTACTAGCATTCTCAAGTCATCTTAAACTTCTGTGAAATTTATTAAAGGCTATTGGCTTCAAAGTGGAATAAATGTGTTAAAAGATGGCTTTTAAGGATGTACAACACACCTACCCCCAAAAATTCCTGTCGTTTAATTTTCGTTATATTTGTATATTTATTACATGACTATATCTATTATCTACTGCATGTATGCACATTTTGGACAAAATCGTTCGAGTGGTTTTTGGACAGGAAATTCCAAAAGTTACACCCCTTTATTTGTTTACAAGGAGAGAAAATTTTTCATCAAAGAACTACTCAAGCCTTGATTTTCAAAAAAGCCAGGTTAGATATAAATGTCAAATTTCATTGACTTATACCTTTAACCATTTAACACAAAAACATAGTCATCTTTTTGATATACATATCAACTAAACAATTTTTAAAGACCTTAAACTGAAAAACTTTGAATTATCTAAGCCTTGAAAATTGTGTATTTTTCAAATTCAATTTTATTTTATTATTTTTTTTTTTTGTGAAAAAAGCTGTTGTTTAATTTTGGTAAAAAAAACTTTCTTTAGGTAGCTGGTAGTAAAAATAATCTTCATAATTTTTTGTATAATTTTTGTACGACCAGTTTTGATTTATTAGCGATAAATTACCCCCTCCCCCTCTCTCAATAAATCATGTTCCCGCGCTTCTTTCAGACGGGGGTCGATCATTTTGCTAAGAATCTACAAATACACATGAAAAAAAATCAAATTTGAAATATTGCTTTTGCTTCAAAAATATACTAACTTACAAATTTAAAAGTTCTTAAATGTAAAGCGAATTTGAATGTAGATTTTTAGGCAATTTTTGAATACTCCTACCACCCCCACCCCTTCCATTTTTGCGTCGCAGACCACTAGCGTTTGACGAAACGTCGTTTACAGTGCAAATATACTAGTATTTCGTCATTTGAATCCCGGAGGTATGCATTTGTTTTTAAAATCATGAAATGTAGAATAAATATTGACTACTGTTTTTATATGTATCAGGAAAAAATTACCGAAGGACTTTAGTGTTTAGTCCATATATGTATGCGTTATGCATTCCATATCACATGAAACCTAGATACGAATTCAAGTTATGTTGAACTTAAATATGTTGATTCTTAATTTTATCTATCAAAAAATGGTGTATGTTCAACTCTCCTGTAATATAAATGGAATAATTGTAGTTTCTTTCATGTCATTATTTCAAACGATACAGTATGTGGCCGTGGGGATACATCGACATTTGCATAGATATACACCCCTCATAATACTGACGCATTCTTTCAGTGTCGTTGATTCTAAAGTTAAAATGAAAATTCCGTATTCGTCCTACTCCACATTAACTTCAAAATATCAAACATTAAACTCTTCATCTATTTCAATTTATATCAAATCGCACATTGATATTTTTAAAAATCTTATAGGCTACGTTTTTTTTTTTTTTTGATTCGAGGAAATGCGAACCGACACTGTGAACAGTGACAGAAAGTCAAAAGATTTGCTGCAATAGGATATTCATAAATGCAGATAATTTCAGTACTAGTGAACAATTCTTTCCAAGTCTATACTTACATTGTGTATATGAGGTCTTTATTATTCAATTATCAGGTAGTGCTGTAAATGTATCTGATTCTGTGGAAAACCGTGAATAAAAGGGAGGAAAATAAACATCTCCTACATTTTCAGAGTTGTTCCTCTTTGATCAGTAAGGGTCTGAGAACAACATCGATTTTACATTGTAAAAAGTTTTTTTGTTTGTTTATTGTTGTTTTATTTAATTAAAGAAGAAAAACAATATTTATATCGTAAATGCACAAATTGTAATGAAGACCATTAATCGGAATGTTAAATGCCCTATAACCAATTTGGGCAAAATAAAATTTTCAGAATAAAAGAAAATGCTGCGCTTTGATCAAGAATACAATTTATTGTATATGAAATGAAATGAAATAAACATTAAGGGATGGTATTTTATGTCTTGATTTTTACGGAGTTTAATCGGGTTAATAAAAAAAAACTTATTGATTGAGTATGGTACTCATAATCACAGCCAAGCCCCATATCCCATTTTTCTTTTATAATTGATATACATCGGGATCGTTTTACTCGTCATTTTGACGCTTTATTTTTGACGTTAAATTTGACGTCACGTCAAACGTTCAATTGAAATTGCAAGAGTTATCTCCCCCAGTGTGTTGTACGTCTTTAAAATCCGACTTTAAGTCATCTTTAAGCTAGACCTTTAGATACTTAAACACCTTTACAATTTAATCACCTTGTGGCTACCTGAAGAGCATCTTTTCACCATTCAAAACATTTTCCGGTGTTAAAAAAGATTGTAAATAATTTTCTTGACAATTTCTGATTCTAGATTTGATTTTGCAGACCGATCTCTTCGAGAGAAAAAAAAACAAAGATTAGAAAATATGTATCTGTATCATTAAAACAGTTTGGTTATCATTTGACAACTTTTTTGTTTGTCATTTTCTGTTATTGAATGTTGACCAAATATTCAAAGTTATATAATGTACACTAGTACATTATGAAATGTAGTTTGTTGAATGTATAGAATGTTTTGAATAAAATGACGCTTTTCATATCATTTAGTAATATCAGTAGCATTTACCAAATTATTTTTTATTATTTTATTACAATACGCCTGTGATATTTGTCTTTTATCAGGGAATTCACCTGGAACATGTAATTGTGTACTTCTATACAACAAAAGAATACAGATGCAAAACCGAATGGTATTAAAACCAATTAATTTTGAGATATGTAAGTTGGCTACTAGTAACTGGCTACGAGAAGTGAGTAAGGTTTGCTACTAGTAACTGGCAACTAGTAGCTGGCTACGACACGTGGGTAAAGTAGGCTTGTAGTAGCTGGCTACTAGATGTGAGTAAATTTGGCTACTAGTAGCTTTCTACGAGATGTAAGTAAAGTTGGCTACTAGTAACTGGCTACTATTAAACGACTTGAACCTTCTAGTACCTTTTGTGTATAGTTATGCAATTTTGGGATACAAATGTTGATATTCTTGAAGTAGCTGGATTTAAACATCGCTGATATCCACTGATATTGCTGATAAAACAATCTCTCAGCTTTTTCATATTATCTGGTATTAAAGCAACCAAGATATCGTTAGAAATAAATTCAGCTACTAAGTATCTTATGTGTATAATTTTGCAATTTGGGAAAACATATGTTGATATTCTTGAAGTAGCTGGATTTTTGCTTAGCTGATATACACTTAAGTTGCTAGTAAAAACAATCTCTAAGCTTTTCCACATAATCTTGAACAAAAGTTATCAAAATATTGTTAGAAATAAACTCAGGTACTAGTACGTTTTGTGTAAAATTGTGAAATTTTAGAATACAAATGTTATTATTGTTGAAGTAGTCGGATTTTTATTAAGCTGATATCTATAAATATTGCTGATAAAAGCACTGTCTTAGCTTTTCCACATGATTTGGCACTGAGGTTACATGTACCAATATATCTTCAGTAATAAACCGAGATACTAGTACCTTTTCTCAAAATTTTTGGGATTTCTGGGTACAATTATTGATATTATTGAAGGAGCCGTATTTTTATTTAGCTGATATCTATCAAAAATGCTGATAAAAATAATGTCTTAGCTTTCCACATGATTTTGCACGAAAGTTACCAAGATATCTTAAGTAATAAACTCAGTTACTAGAACCTTTTGTGTAAAAGTGTGCAATTTAAAGATACACATGTTGAAATTCGTGAAGCGGCTGGATTTTTAATTAGTTGATATCTATCAATATTGCTGATAAAAACAATGTCTTTCCTTTTCACATAATTTGGCACTGGAGTTACCAAGATATCGTTAGTGATAGACTTAGCTACTAGTGCCTTTTGTATAAATTGTGCAATTGTGGAATAGAAATAGTTATATTATACAGGTAGCTGGATTTTTACATCGCTGATATCCACCCATATTGCTAATAAAACAATCTCTTAGCTTTTCCACATCATCTGCCACTAAAGGTACCAAGATATTAGCTCATTAAAAATCCGGCAACTTCAATAATATCAAGATTTGTTTCGCAAAATTTCGCAGATTTACACAAAAGGTAATCTCGTAGTACCTGAGTTTATTACTAACGATATCTTGGTAACTTCAGTGCCAAATCATGTGAAAAAGCTAAACGATTGTTTTTATCAGCAATGTTAGTGGATATCAGCGATGTTAAAATCCAGCTACTTCAATAATACTAAAATTTGTTTCTTACGATATCTTAGTCACATCAGTGCCAGATCATGTGGAAAAGCTAAGAGATTGTTTTATTAGCAATAAATTAAAAGATAACAGCGATGTAAAAATCTGACAAGAATATCAACAATAGTATCCCAAAATTGCACAATTTTACACAAAAGGTAATAGTAGCTGAGTTTATTTCTAACGATATCTTAAATAGCTTAAACGTTACGAGATTGATTTTATTAGCTACGTCAGTGAATATCAGCGATATAAAAATCATGTTACTTTCAGAATACCGACATTTGTATCCCTAATTTTTAAATTTAACACAAAAAGTACTAGTAGCTTGTTTCTTACGATATCTTAGTTACATCAGTGCCAAATCATGTAAAAAAAAAAGCTTCGACATGTTATCAGCAAGATGAGTAGATAACACCGATGTAAAAATACAGCTACTTTAATAATATTAATATTTGTATCCCAAAAGATCACAATTTCACATAAAAGGTACTAGAAGGTTCAAGTCATTTTCTAGTAGCCAGTTACTATAGTACTGTAGTCAAATTTATCTACCTATCGTACCCAGCTACAAGTAGCCAGTTACTAGTAACAAACTTTACATATCTTTAATTTTGGAATTATTTTAATTAGCATTTGTGTTTGTAACCATGGAAATATGGGATAATATTAGTACATAGTAACACATTTTTTATCGATGACTTCAGTTTAATCACATTTATCATATTTTTTATCCCTCTTAAAATATAGGAAAGAAAAAATGGCAGTCTTGCGGAAATAATATAATTATAAAGAAACACGTTCATAATGTATCTTATACATGTATATACGAGGGCCGTTCAAAAATTACGCGGACTGTGCTATTATTTACCCTTGCAGACGTCATACAGTTATGAAATTTCACAGAAATATGTATCTTAAAGATTCCAATACATTTTGGACAAAATTTCTGTATTTAAAAAAAATTCTACTAAAATTATCGGTATGTTGATATCGCTGATGGAGAGGTACGGAGCACGACAAAAAATTTGAAGCAAAAGCAAGCGGATTCAAACATTTTAACTCATTAATTTTCTAAAATTCGCGATATTTTCCCACAATTTTCTCAAATGAACCTTTAAATTGTATTATTATTATATATTTAGATTTCTGACGTGATATTTGAAGTACTAAGAGAAATATAGTGATTTTTCTCTGCTGCGATTCCCGTTAAAACGACTATGAAAATGACGTCTCCTGAATTGACGGCGCAACACACTTTTGTTAAATTATGTGTAATGCTCGAGATATCCCCAGCATAGATCCAAAATATGCACAATGAAATATGTAGTAAACTAGGGTATTCGTGACATTCGTCCACAAATAGCAAAATTGAAATTTCAGACCGTTAGACCTCTGTAAAAATGCTACACGGGAGGACAGGAAGTAGATTATATACGAAAACTTTGTCCGGACTGTAAAGAACATGATTGAGAGTCACGAATACCACACTATATTTCATAACTACCTCTAGTTTTTTGGTTTTAAAACAAAAAAAAAGAATATTCTTTACTTGTTTTATAGATTTTAAGCTTGACAAGAAATGGTGCTTGGATAGTAGATAAGGTAACTCAAACTATAGAGGTACTCTTGGGAAAATGTTGAAAAAATGATAGCTTAATCACATATTTTTATAATGCCTGTGACGTCGAAGATTTTAATTTGCTGCTCCGTGACTTTATGATATGTCCTGAAAAATCACTCAAAATTGATACCAATTAACAACATTTTGATATGAAATTTTAAAGACCATATAAGTATAGATTCTTTTATATTATGTGTGACATTTTGCCCGATTATGTCGTCAAATATTTTTTCTGCGCAACAAGTCCGCGTAATTTTTGAACGGCCCTCGTATGCTTACACTTGTATATTTCATTATTGATGTAGGACCTATTAGGACATCCGTAATCAAAGTGGCTACAATTCTGCACACCTAGGAAACCATTTGATAAGGAATCCACACACAAACCTGGTAAAAAAGTTAAAAATAATTACCTGAGTGTCTGCTTGAAAATATTGAGAAAATTTATATCTGTTTTCACAACCTCCTTACAAAATATCAAATGCCTTTATGATAATAAATGGTCCAGTTTAAGTGAAAATAGGAAACAAAACTACAGGTTTAAAGGACAATTAAAGATATGAAGGAAATAGAATATTTCCTGTATCAAGATTTATATTATTTAGTGCTAATTGGTTGATTGTAACATCTTTTTAAAGATGGGGTCAGTAATGTAAATTTGTAGATAATCGTCAAAACATACGACTTTAGGCGTAATTTTTTTTTTATTTTACTTTATTTCTTTAGATTTTGGGCACATGCCAACATCATGCATTTATTGACTGAGTTCGAGGACAACATGGGTTTTGTCGAACGCATGAACAAAACTGTCTGCCTGAGGCCGTTATTAGGCCGAAGGCAGATAGTTTGGTACAAGGGTTGACAAAACGCAATTTGCCCAAGAACAAAGTCAATAAATGTTTTGTTATACCCATTATTGTTTTTTTTTTTTTGACATACACATATTTTGTTATGTCTTCTCAATCTGTGATTTAACTTCATGTCAATCACTTTTGAACACTAACGAATGAAAATTGGATTAAAATCCACACACTCTGTGACGTAAGCGGTCCAACATCTCATCGACCGGTCCAATATCTCTCTAAGCAATCTAACATCAATTCTTTTATGTTCGCTCAGCAAAACATTAGGAATGTAAAACTTTCTCTCGTATAGAAGTATATAGGAATTTTTAAGGTATAATTAACAAGTCTCGCCCTCTATCACGTTTTCTTACCCTCGCCGAAATATCGTTTGTAGTTCAAGAGAGTAACCATGTATTTTATATATAGTGAATGTCTTATTGATTTAAGATGTCAGCAAAAAAAAATCGTCAATCGTCTTTACGTTCAAGTTTAGAAAGCTTTCAAACTCCCCGCTACTGCGAAAAAGATTAACTGTCCACTTTATTGTTTGTTTGATACTCTAAGTGTCTAAACCAATCAAATTTTAGTATTTAACAAATTACCGTTGTGTTACCCGTTGTCACCTGTGTTGCTAAGACTGACGGTAATAGAAAGGATTCTTAACTGCGTCTAAACCAATCAGATTTTAGTATTTAACATGAAAGTATGATAAAATATATCCTGCATGTTGACCTGAATAAGCAGCGTGTTAATATAAGTAGTGGCATCTGTCATGTTCTGGCATACGTAAATATATTTACTAATAAACATCAGATTATTCTTTAACAAAATGGTAACTTTCATGTTAACATTATTGCTTTACATGTTGAAAAAATTAGTAGCATATGTCTACATATTATGTTGCATTTAACAAAATATATTATCGTGCGTGTAGGGGACAAAAATATAATATCGTAAATGTACGAGGGTTGCTCGAAAAGTTCGCTTTTGTCATATTTTTTTTTAATTCGACTTTATCCACATTTGTTAGAAATATTTAATCAATAAATGCAAATGATTGGTTTAAAATTTTTTTTAAATATAGGTATACATAATATAATATATATAATGATTTATTTAAATCTTATCTGGGTTTTAACAAAATGCAAATTTGGGTCGCGGAGCAGGTAAAAATTAGTAAGCTACAAAAATACACAAAATTATGTCATATTCTCCGTAAAAATGGAGCAAGAACGATTGATTGATTGATTGATTGTATATTTTTTAACGTCCCCCTCGAAAATTTTTCACTCATGTGGAGACGTCACCGTATGCCGGTGAAGGGCTTCAAATTTTGACCTTTACTCGGCACGGAGGGCCATTGAGCAGTGAGGGATCTTTATCGTGCCAATAATTGCCGCTGACACGGGGCCTGGGTTTTTAAGGTCTCATCCGAAGGACCCGCAACTTTCACTTCAAAGTGCCGAGCGCATGGCAAAGGAACAGCCGCTACCCATTTTAATGACTAGGTCAGTCGCGGCCGAGATACGAGCTCACGACCTCCCGATCACTGAGCGGGCGCTCTACCGACTGAGCTACCGTGAACGGTGAGCAAAAACGAAAAAAACAACCAAAAACTCAAACAAAGAATTGTTATTTCGATTTGTAATCCATTTTTTGCTTCGTTGAAAAGAAACCAACTTTTGAAGATAAATAGTCCTCATTGAAAACAACAAAAACGACGACGTTTTAGAACGTCACGGAACAGCAGATAACGATGCAATTTTGTGTATTACTCAGGAAAAATCATGAATTAACTCTTAAAATGTTGGAGGACTAAAAAAAACATGCCACAAGGGAGTTGTACATGTGTGGACATACAGTGCAGGTGTAAAACGAATAATGACCCCCATCGAATAATGACCGGGGGTTCATTTTTCAACGACAAAAAATGATCCCCAACCGTAGAAAAAAAATCAATTTTTGCAGAAAAAGAGTCCTAGGGGGTCATTATTTTATATGTTAGTCCTATAAAATAATGACCCCCATTGAAAAATGACCCCCTTTAAAGTGATACAAAATATACACTCTTTGATATATTTTTTACAGCGAAACTAATTTTTACATTTTCTGTAACCAGAAAAATACAAAAAGTCGTATGAAATAATTAAGAGATTCACGTAGTCTTTCAATGCTAAAATTGTGTTTGAAAGGAGATTCTTTAATTGTCAAGTAAATAAAATTTCTTTTTAATATTCCTCCTTATAATGTTTGCTTAAAGAATGATATTCCACTTATTTTTAGAAATCAAACCATGCAGAAATCAGGTTTAAATACTCTTTAATAGGAAAAATTAAATTTTCCGTCATTTCAACTTTTAGCTTGTTTAAGTTTGGCAAATCCTATTTGACAATGAAAGAGGAGTAAATTTTTACCCCCCCCCCCCCAAAAAAAAAAGAACATTACGTTAAATCAAAACAAAAAAATAATAATAAATGAAAAGCAAAAATATAAATAAAACTCTATACCTTTCAATACTTCTGAAAGAGGTTCTAGATAAAATATTGAAATGAAGTTAAGCCTTCACACAAGTACTTTCATATCATAATTTACTTCGCCATGATTAAAGCATACTTTAAATGTTGGTGGAGGTATACTTGAAAGTATTGTGGCAAAGTAACAGTTAAAAATTAGTAGAATAGTAGATTATTTTAAGCTTATTTTTAATTCCTTCTTATAGAAAAATAAAGGTAGGGTGGTTTTTTTTTTTTTTTTGTTTTTTTGTTTTTTTGTTTTTTGTTGTTTTTTTTTTTTTGGCTTTTGTTCAATATCGACTTCCTCCTAAATAAGAAAGGGGGTGGGGTAAGTATAAAAATATGCTCTGTAAAGCTATGGGCTAGTGTAAAATACACAGTCATTCTAATGCAAAAACTATACATGTAGACATAAACTTTTGATTTAGCACACAGTATTCATTACATTTCTTTTAACGTATGACATAATAACTGGTAAATGTGTTTAACCTGTGCTAACCCATTAAGACGTCATAATTAATTCAATGCCACTTTTTCCCATACTCAACAGCTTCAATAGAAATGGTAGAAAATACTGCATTTTGAAATTCACAGAATTCAATCATGCGATCATAATCTTAATTCAATTCATATATTTTTGGTTTATAATGCTTAATGGCAATATATTTCTGGAATAAGAGAAAATATCTAGGCACCTTTTATTTAACTAGATGTAGACCTGATCTTTTTTAAGTAAAGGTACAATTTATGATAAATATTTAAACTGAGAGTAACCCCAAACAGTCATTTAATTATTAAATTCCGCGTAAGTGCAAAAAGGTCAAGAATATGAGAATCGGTAAAAAGTCTATCTTTCACAAGTTAGAGGGGAAAGGTATATATTTTAATCACTTTTTGTAATCATTTGGCTGTGTTCTTCATCATATTAAAGATTGAAAACATTGTGACAAAGACTTCTAAAAATATTTACAAATGTAGGGTGCATAATTGACTAAAAATAATAGAGTTCATTTGACTATTTTTTTTAATGGTGAACTTATCTTTTATGTTAATTGAATAAAAAAGAAATTATTCTTGATAAAATATTGTTAAATATTATTCAGTTAATAAAGTTTATAAACGACGATGTTTGAAGAAGTATGTTTGTGATTTTTCATATTCTCTTTATGACAAGTACCCCTAAAAATATTTGAAAATGTGAAGTCGCAGTATGTAAATACTATACCAAGTTTCACAGCCTGTTCTAGATTAAAAAACAGGGAAACATATCATGATATTTTAACTGATTGATAAGCAAGTACTAATTTATCATTTTGAAAAGTTTGAAAATCTTGTGACAAAGACTTTTCCGACATAGGTTCTACCTTAATTTTTGATTTACTCCACCCTTTTACTCAGTTCTGAATATATTTTTCAGAGAATTTAATATGAAAATCAGAACAAATATTTTCATTGTTGTAACGTCTTCTTTATAATGTATCATAATATGAAAAGTTAATTGAAGACCATTTCTTTTTATGTCCCCGTAATCGAAGATTCGGGGGTATATAGTTTTATCGTATGTTCGTCTGGTTTGTTTGTCCGCAAAAACCTTAACCTTGACCATAACTTTTCATTTATTGGAGTTATGACTTTCATATTCAATATGTGTATTCCTTGTGACGAGACCTTACTTTGGGTACCACCAAATTTGACCTTTTGACCTTTACCTTATAGTTTGTCCCATTTTACACAGAAATGCCAAATTTTTACTTTGGCCATAACTTTTAAACGATAGATACAAGTTCTCTCATACTTTAAATATGTAGTTTTTTGGCATTACCTTTCATTGGATACTAAAAACTTTGACCTTTTGACCATGACCTTGGAGATTTCCGTCCTTATGATTTTTTTTTACCTTGGCCATAACTTTTGAACGGTAAGGGCAAGGGTATTCATACCTCACATATGTAATCCTTGTTACATTAAACATTTTCTTAAGAAATCATCAACTTTGACCTTTGAGTTTGACCTACCTTCCAAAACTTATCCTTAGCCATTACTTTTGAACAAGTGGTGCTAGGGCTTTCCTATTTTGCAGTTGTATTTCTTGTGAGAAGACCCTACTTTGTGTAAGAATATATTTAAAATGCATTTAAGAAAATTTTAATCTTCGCTCTGTTGCCATACAGGGGCATAGCTGTTTCACAAACACATCTTTTTTTATATGAGGATTTGCAGATAAGAGATGGATACCTGAAAGCGTAACAGACGGACGGACGGACATCCCGATCACTATATACCCTCCCGCTTTTCAAGCGGAGGATATAATAATATATAATACTGCTGATTTTTTTTTCTGTCATTTCGATGATTTCCACCATCAAAAAACAATGTTTACCTAACCCTTAAGGCTTGATAAATCTTTTACTCCTTTGGATTCTGAATCATTGCATTGACCTTAAAAATAATTGTATAATGTTATGAGATCAACATATCATCGCTCAGGTGAGCATTTTGGCCAATATGCTTCTTTCATTTTTTTGCCCCCTAAAAATTTTAGCTTTAATCTACATGGGGTCATTTTTCTACGGGGGTCATTTTTCTTCACGTGGGCTCTGCAAATTTTTAGGGTGGTGACACTTTTTCTACGGGCAAAAGGGTCATTTTTCTACGTCGAATAATGACCGGGGGTCATTGTTTGCTGTCGAAAAATGACCCCCGGTCATTATTCGATGGGGGTCATTATTCGTCTTTACACAGGCAGTATTTGAGCAAAAGAGAATATGCATCGGATTAGGACAATCTGTAAACGAACGGTTTAACTGTAAAAATCTGAGCAAAAACTTGAAACTGTTGGAAAAATCGATTTAGAGTTGTTCATCCTGTGAAAGCAGAGTTAGGTAATAATAGAAACAAGTTGCTGTCCTTTAAAAAAGGACTGCAATACGTGGACCATATGCGTGTTTTTTTCTGACTGAAATTCAATTTAGAAAATTTCTAGGTGTAGGGAATATTCATGTATTAAGGTTTGTTCACTTATTCTAAAATTATCTGCCATTTATAACTGATCGTAGTCTCAAAGCACAAATGTGAAATTTTATCACCGATTAGCGATCTTTAGTTTTGTTTAAAAAATCGGGTTATTTTGACACGTGTAACACATATTGGCTGGGAATTGACACCTGTTCTGGATTTATACGGAAGAAATTTATCATGGGAAAAATGGAGATTCGCTGTTTCACGTGTTGCACACCTCTGTAGAACGCAGATTTGTTTTTTTTTATTTTGTCGGAGCCCCCACCCCCCAACACACACACACATTAAACAGGGGCGTAGCAACAGCAATTTTTTTTTGCCAGCCTTACTTATACTATAGAAAATATTAATTGAAAGCCTTGTCCGCCCCCCCCCCCCCCTTAACTTATAGATTTATAGTGATTTACCAAAAAATGTAGTATTACAATAGGTACTGAAAGTAACTGACGCTGAGAAAAAGTTTATCTACTGCCCCCCCCCCCCCAACCCCCCACGAAATAGGATTTTCGACTTTTGGCAACTTAATCCCCCCCCTTTTTTTTTGCTTGTCAACTTTTTCAGGTAAGTAGTGAATTTTTTTCTCTGGCTGCCCCTTTTCAAAAACGATGCTACGCCACTGTTAAAAGCCCTTGCTACAGACCTTTATCAAACAATAATTAGATTGTAAAATTTTATGAATGATTATTATTACAAATTTATTAAATTATTTTGCGAGTCTTGATGCACAAAACTAATGCCGGTGAAAACTTGCTCTACTTTAAAAGTTTTAAAAGCTACATGTATCTCTGTTCGTTGAGTGACGTTTCTCATTCAAGTTGTTAAGTTACATGTATCTATATACTGTAACTTCTTGAAATGTTTGTACCATAGAATCAATGTTTAGTAAAAAAAGTATATGTAAAAGAGAGGAAATCGGATCTGCCAATGAAAATGTAAATGCGATATGCAGATTTAAAAGCGCGATTTGCCAATGAATGGCATATATATTTTAATTCGAATAGGGCGAATTATTCTACGGGCAAGTTACCTAAGGTGCGAACTCTCTAGCATTCGCGCGCATGCGTAGCCTGTCGTTTGCCCAGGGCATCCGGTTTAACTTCGCTTATATATTTACTGCGTGGACCGCAGGGTCCACGCAATTATACATCGAGAACAATTGTTAATACCTAAATGACAAGTATTAGAAAAAGGTTTTAAATGAGTGGCTGTTGGAAAATACAGTGTGAAATGTATAGCCTAGGGATAGTATTTTTTTTATTGATTCTTGACGCCATGTTTTGACGTTCTATTGCCGTTAAGTGTGCTCCGCGGGTAAACATGTTGATTTTAAAATGAAGTAAATTGATTTTTGTTAAATCGAATGGAATGAAACTTTATAAATACACATCACCAAAACAATTTTTTGCGTTTTATTTTGCGCTTGTCTTAAATTTCTGGTGAGAAATATAACGAAGATTGCATGACATGGGCAACGAACTTTCCGAACAACCCTCGTAAAACTCACTTCAAAAGGATTATCATTCTCTCTATAATATGTTGGTATGTTTCAGCCCTCTACATGTGAGATAAAATATGTAAACTAGCAAGGTAATTATGTTCAAATTCAGAAAATAGTCACTGTTTTAAAATGCAAGTTTCTGTACCCATTATGTTTTAGAGAATCTGATTTTAACATGATTTGTATCTGATAGGGGTCAGAAATATCCTCTCATTCTATAACATTATTAATTTAGGAAAGTAGATGCATATTTGTTATTTTAATTTGGATTTGTTGCAGAAATTTGAGAGATAATATTATGTTTAGCAAATTGTAAGCAAAATGCTTTATAAACATTGTAAACATCGTAAAAAGCGGAAACACCTTTTTCAATTCTCGCTACAGATCCTTTGAGGCAAAACTCGACAAGTGATGTTTTCCCTTCGTTTGGTGCACATTGGTAGAGGATCCTGCCAAATTGATCTCTTGAACAATTTAACTTGACACCAGCTTCCCGCCAGGAGTCAGGGTGCCATGGACAGGAAGGTACTGGAAACTCCATAAACATATCTATAATTACAAATGTTATTCATGTAATTATACATGTAGATAAGACTTAAAGCTTTACCTAAAAAATATTAAACGTAAAACATTCTGGATATGAAAATGAAAAGCATGGTTCAAGTAAGAGAAAGACTGACAATGGCCATTTTCCGAGGGAAAGTAAACACTTCAAGATTTTCCTTATTGTAAGTTGTTCTCGGCATATTTACATTACATATGTTTTTCGCATATAACATGTATAAAATGAATAGAAATATATCGAATTCAAAACACCATAACATAGACAGGGTGCCAACAGATTATGAAAGCATGCTTTTTAGTTTGTCGTCATGACCGTTGAACGCCGAGAAAGTACAACGTCACAAGCAAACCATTAACTCTAGCTTACACGAAGGATAATATGCATTCTTAGTCTAGTATGTTCTTAAATAACAATCACATTTACAGTTAATGTAGAAAGTTTAGAAATGTAAATATAAGCAATGAATCATTACTTTTCGAAAGAAATAGTCTCATAACTGCAAAGCAGTGTGCAAACAAATTGAGTAACGCGCGTTAAATAAAATAATGATTTAAATATGCCTTACAAAGGACATCGTCGTGCCCTTTAAATATCGGGAATGTGTATCCAATATTTTTAGAAAAAAAATCGACAGCTTTTATTGATTTAAAAAAGAACACTAATTAAGCTATCATAAATTTGCCAGAAAATGTTTCATCAAACACTTTAATATTTGACAAAGTATTCTGGTTTTATAGGATAAAATATCTCCTCAGCTATTATTCCAAAGAAAAGTGTTTTCTCATAGGTTATCCTTAGTCTATTTTCAAAGACGTTTTTAAAAATATGCAATGTATTTTTTTTTCTTGTTTGAATGTTTTGTACCATTCCTTTTGATAATTTTTCACTCATATGGAGACGCCCCTTTGCTGACGAAAATCTATGCTCGGCACCTAGGGCAATTGAGCACTGATAGAGGGATCCTTTTCGTACCAGGTCCTACTCCTACACGGGACCTCGGTTTATACTGTCTCATTCAAATCATGGGCCATAATTGATGCACCAATGTTACAAAGTATATGAAAGAAAAGTTATAATCACCTAAATTGGAAGAAAGTCCACCTCACGCCATTGTATTAGTGGAAAATCCCTTCTTTCTATAGACTGGTCTGCCTGTCTGATATTCGATATACATTTTCCTGCGTACGGTAAAGACAGGCAATATCAGTCTATTCTTTCCAGTCATGCATTTGGGGCAATCTGAGGGGAAATTAAATTCATTTTTCTTAAAACACATATTTTATTGAAGTTGACTCCAACAGTATGTATATTTTGTTCATATCACTGTTCTATAACCCTTGTTCGCTGATAATTTAATTCTCTCTTTTGACCTTTAAACACAAATCGATCAATTAAAAAAAAATAAAAACGAAACTAGCTAGGTTTTCATAATGACTTAATGAGGAGAGGTCCCAAAAGGGAACTACAACATGTACGTGACATTGTATCTTTAAATATTTAAATCTTACGGTGCATTTTAAATCTTAAAAGCGTTTTTAATTTTACAAGAAGAAAGAAGTGATCTTTAAAATGATAACCTTGCTGAGCTGCATTAATTCTGCGTCGAGAGTAAATTGTACAAGTTAATAATCAGGGATTTTCAGAGGCCAAAAATTACAGAGAGGGGGAAGTGCTAATAGATCCACTAGCTATAGTGTCGATCTTATCTCAGTGAGATGGGTAAAGACTGAAAATTTGGTCTGTCGTCCACTACCCATCTCACTGAGATTAGTGTCGATCATGATTCATCTCTTCTAGCTGTTCTTGGGGTTCTTGAGAAGATTTATAAGATTTCTTTTTTTCTTTTACATATTTCAACGTAAACGTCTTTGATTTGGAATGATTTGTGCCAATTATAGCTAAAATTGGCCCATTATTTGTTGATAACGGGTTTGAAATGCGAAAAATTAGAGATGGCCTGAAGACTGAAGGATAAGCGCCAGACAACAGGTGATCAGTCAAAAGTTCGAGTTTTCAGCTCAGGTAAAACTAAAACATGTAAAAGGGAGATATATTTTGCACACATAATTTTTGTTGTTTAAAGCAAATTTCCAATACAATTAGTTTATATGATCAAAATTAGAAGAAAAAAAATATTTGACTCAACATAGAATATTTCTCTACATTACAATTCATTCAATGGCTATATCATGTAACCCATGTATACAACAAATATAGAAAAGTCTGTATAAGCCAAATGAATGCTTTTATATTCACTCAACTCCTTATAGTGTAAAGAACGAAAAGTCAAGGTACAATTTTCTATGATTAAGAAGTCATGTCCATGTAATATGAAAAAAAAAACAGAAGTATAAAATATTCTAAATGAGGTACAGTATAACTAATGCATTACACCACTCTTGGTGTAATCTTTTTTGTTGATAAATAATTCCTGAGGTTTGTATAAATTTTTGTTCCCTTCGTATCCTGTTTTTAACCCTAAATTGAGTTTGCCTCTACAATTAAAGCAATAAATTAAGTGATTTTAAGCTTAATATTCCCAGTTAAAAGTCTTTTCTTCATATATGCTGCTTTTGAAGTAAATGATTTTATATCCCTATTCTTATAAATCCACAAACATATAAGTTAAACATAATAAAATCAAAATTATCTGTGCTCATTCCATGACAAACTCTGTCAAAATATTACAATTTATTACATATCAATTGTAAAAAAATACTGTAATATTACAATTAAATAAAAAAAATAGTCTGTCAAGGTGTGAAAAAAAATATCAGAAGTTCTGAAAAAGTCTCAGTGCTATAAGATCAATAGAGTAAGTAAACTTAAAGAGACTTAAACAGTAAAGTTTCTCCAAATAATGTTTATCATGTTAGCAACATACATGTATGATGTCTCAGCTGCTCACTATGATGTCACAGTCTACACCATTGTGTAACGAAAAATCAGAGGCAAAAGGAATATCAAGGAAAATTAAAATGTAGAGAAACAGAGAATTTAATGTTTTGCAGTTGGAAATGGAATTTATTTCACTCTACAAAACATAAAATATCCTCTACAAACAATATCTTAGTTACAAATAATTCCAATACACACAGAATGTAATCATGGAATGGCTTATCTATAATTATACATACATGTACAAAGAATAAACAAGTCAAACAAACTGTAAAATGCTGTTAAAAGGTATTGCACATATTGAGTGTATATATCACAATATATTGATACTAATATTTCAAGCACGTCCCGTTTATAAACCAAGGGCTTCCCTTTAATAACATTTACATATAATATGTACATGGTGTACTTATGGCAAAAAGAATAGATAGCCCCCAGCAACACATGGCAATTCGGTGAATTATGAGATGTCAACCTACATTCAGCATTATACACAGTTATATGCTACTGAAATGTAAAGTCAATATACACAGCCAAATTGTTCATGTAGCTCTGTATGAAAACCTGGAAAATAAAGAATCATAAAAATATTGTAAGACCTATGAAATATCAATTACATGAAGGTATTTAATTTGCTTTGTATAGTTTACTTTACTTTATACAGACACTGAATCATTTTTTACACAAAAACTTTGAAGGAGAGACTTTGTTACTTACTCATTAGATCTGTTGTCTGACAATACGCTCCATACGATCCTGGATCCACCTCAGTATTTCAGGGTTTGGACTAGAGATCTCTATTGTACTCCCAGAGAATAGGGAACCCTTCTTGTCCTTCAAAACGAAAAACAACCAGTTTTTTTATTATCTACCCTAAATGTTTCTTATTTTTTAGTTTAAATCTTTTTTACTGTGGTAATATTTGAAATGCATATTTTTCATGCTAGGTGCATGTTTATTTATTAATTTTTTTTTCATGATACCCTTGAAGAAATATAAGTCCCGTTTTACTATGTTGAATTATAAAATTCAAACTAATAAAAGTTTTCAAACTTTAAAAAAAATCGACCCATAAGATTCTTTCTTTGGTTCATATATATATTGACCTAGTAAGGTTTCATTAGTTTAACCAATTTCTATTAGTACTTAGAAATCGCAGATCTTGGCGTTCCCATAATAGTTCTACAATTCTTTCATTATATCAGGGACCTGTATACTTATAGGTCCCTGATTATATAAAAAACAATGTTTTAAAACATTATTTTGCATAAGGTGTAATAAAATGAAAATATCACTTAATTAAGTATCTATTTTTATGAATTTTTAAATTAAATTTTATATGTAGAAAGTTAGATTCTCAGGGAATATTAATCTTGTTGAACATGAAACTTGAAACTTTTTATTTCACTAAAGCCCCCACATGGGGTATGTTAGTACAACAAGAATTTAACAAATGAACAAGGAAACATGTGAACAGTTAACATGATGAACAAGAAAAAGATCTTTGATATGGACAGTACTGAAGGATGTAAAAAATTAAAATTAAAAAATAAAGTTTACATTGTAGGAAGTTCAGGCACTAAATGTTTTAAGAACAGTTTTACAAAACTTAGCTAAACCTATTAGTTCATATACATTAGAAGTATTCATCAAATCAGAAAAAGATAATGTGTTTGGGTTCATGTAAATATTTTTAGGTATAAATTTCTGTCTTTCAGTCTTAAAAAAAGGACACTTGAATATATAATGAAACTCATCACCAAGTTCATTGTTATTGCAGAGGTTACAATGTCTCTCAGATCTATCAATACTATAAAATCTACCAGCTTCAATTGGCAAGTTATGACTAACACAACTAAATTTACTTAAATATAATCTAAGATCATTTGGTAACATGTTTAAATAATTTTCAAAACCAAAATTACACTTGTACATTCTATAGTTGAGGCATTTTGGAGAATTTAATACATTTACATTCCAGTCTTGGATAAATTTATTTTTTAATGTATTCTTTACTAGCACACCAATTTTGCATGATTTATCAACATACTGAGCATTCCACATTAGGTCCAAATTACAATCAT